AACCTTTGTAGTGATTCCAAAAGTAACCTTTGTTTGTAGTGATTCCAAAAGTAACTTTGTAGTGATTCCAAAAGTAACCTTTGCAGTGATTCTATATGTAGTGATTCTAAAAGTAACCGTTGTATTGTCATGTATTTTTCATAATATTAATTATATTAATGGATATTCAATAAGGTTCATCCTAGGGTGATAACTAACACTCACACCAAGTTTCATCTAAAGCCATTAAGAATTGTGCCTTCTAGAGTGTTTACAAGCTAAAAATCGAATGTGTTTTCCAGAACAAGGGCAATAACTTATACTAAATATTTTTACACCATGTTTCGTCAAAATCTGTCAATAATTGAACCTTCTAGCGTTTTACAAGTTGAAATTGAACGCATTTTCAAGAACAAGGGCAATAACTCATACTTATTATGTTTATATTTTTTATTTTCAATAGGGTTCATCCTTGGGTGATAGCAAACACCAAGTTTCATTAAAATCCGTCAAGAAGTGATTAGGAGTATTTAACTCATTCTAAATTTATTTAAATTTTTCTGATTTTCAATAGGGTTTCATGTGGGCATATGAAAATGGCACAGCTGTCCCTTTAAATAAATTTTATGCTAATTAGAGATATTTATGGTGTTCACAGCTACTTACCCTACCTGATCTCCACAAGGTCAAGCTATTACGAACTTTGTCTTATATCTTGACTACAATAGCCACCTTTCTTGTATCAATAACTTTGTGAAGCTAACTTGACTCTTGCAGTTAATCTTCCTGAACTAAACTAGTGTCCAATAGAAACGATACCACCTGTTTGCAACGACATAAAAGAAAAACTAAACAATGCAGAAGTTTAGGATTGGTGTTATGCTTTTGAGAAATCCTTTCACAACATCTGTACAAAAATTTCATTTCAATAAAATCTGTACAACCAATATGACAAGCCTTTAAAGATGGGTGGGGTCGAAAAAAGAACATTTCGTTAGAGCACTGATCACAGAAACAACGGGAAATGTCACACCACACGTCACAAAGTCAAGTCAGTAGCGGGTATGTCCACCGTGAGCATCAATACATGCCAGAACACGCCTACGGACTGATGCCGTTGGGAGTGATGCGTTGCCATTCCTCGAGGAGACATCGTTCCAAGTCCTGGACGTTGACTGGAGGCACATGGCAACGTCGGATTTGCCGATCGAGGTGGTCCCATAAGTGCTCGATGGGATTCATGTCCGCGAACATGCGGGCCATGGCAAAACATGTACGTTGGCGTTGGCAAGGAAGTTCTGTGTCAATCTTGCTGTGTGTGGCCTTGCATTGTCATGTTGGAAAAGGAGTCCACGAGGCTGTTGCTGAATAAAGGGCACCACAACAGGCCGTAGGATGTCATCAATATAACGCTGTGCATTCAGGTTTCCACGAATTACGACAAACCACGTTTTGACGTCACCACATTGCCAACCCCAAGCCATTAACCCTCCACCTCCAAACGGCCAGACCTATTGGATACAGTTAGGCGCCAAACGTTCACCAAATCGTCGGATCAGAGAGCATAACACGTGCCCAGACCCGCCGTTGCCAACGTCGAACTCGCCTGGCCCAGATCAGTCTGTTGTTCCGGTGTCGAGGCGTCAGGAGCGGTCCGCGGTAGGGATGACGTGGCTGGATACCATACTGCCGTAGTCTCCTGTAGACGGTCTGTCGACAGATCCTGTGTCCCAGTGCTGTAGCCGCCGTGGACGTCGCTGTTACGGTGCGGTTCCTCAGGTGTAATACCCGGATATAACGATCTTCAAGGGACGTGGTTACTCATGGTCTTCCACTCCTGGGCCTGTCTGACGTCTGACCTGTCTGACGTAACCGCTGCATAACCTGGTGATAGTGATGCGTGCGCAGCCCAACCTTCTGGCGACGTCGACGTGTGTCGCTCCTTGTTGGACCATTCCAACGGCTCTCTCTCTCTCGATGGCTGTCAAACGTGGCATATCTTGTGTTCTTTTTGTTGCTGTGATATCAACTTGTCTGATCAGCTGTTTTATACAGTTTTTATGCACGTGCAGAACATGCTAGAGAGGGAAATGTCACTTTCACGAAATTTACGTTTTTTCCCGGAAGTGATCACGTGTTCCCGGTATTTTTATCGACTATGCTGTGTTTGGGATGTGCAATACGAATTGGCATGTTTTCATATTAGACAATTCACTTAGTACAAAACAATTTTGAAAATAAGTTGGTATCGTTTCTTTTGGACACTAGTTTATTAAAGATGAGTTTTGTTATTGAAACAACAGAATATAACAATAAACATTTATTGAAAATCACATCAAATATTATACATAAATATATTAGGTCCTGTTTATGGTGATATGTATGGTAATTGTAAAACAAACATATAACTAGCCCAAGGTCTCAGGATGGGGTAAAATATTACAGGAGGGCACAACTAGTAGACAGGACATCATGACCTGATCACAAAGCCTTTATCAGTATATTATAGTGTGATTAAAACATGGTTGATGTCACCAGTCAAAATTTAACAGGGGTCAGATCCTCCCCTGAGCCTTATTTACAAATTGGCTATAATATTGCACACCAATGATCATTGCAAAAAAAAATTCACCAATCCATTTTTTTTTTTAATTATTGTCTGAGCAAACTAAAAGGTTTTTTGAATTTTTGTTATTATTTTTATGAACATTCAAATATCAGCCCCATACAGTATTGTTAGTATTAGAATGTCTTTGCTTTGATAAAGATAGTGGACCACAGCCATATACGCCCACCGCGGCATGCGGGTGGTAGATATTAAAGATTTTGGTGCAAGGGCAATAACTCTGCTTCTTAGAGCTCAAATAGCTCAAATTCGAACTTGATCTTCGTTTTGTGAATATGTCTAGATGTACCGAATTTCATTTGATTCCATCAAAAACTGAATTGATGATGATAGAAGCACTTACTGTATAGATTTTAAAGGACGATAACTCCTTAAAACTGACGTAAGAGGCCAAAATCTTGAAAAAGCCTTAAATTTAATCAGAAGTAAACTAAACTTTCTTAAACCTTTCAATTTAGGTCCAATAACATCCATTTTCAGTTTCATTAAAATTGGTTGAAAACTAAAAGATTTTGGGCAAAGGGCAATAACTCTGCTTCTAACTAAAATAGCTCAAATTCTTCGTTTTATGAATATGTATACACATACCGAATTTCATTTGATCTATCAAAAACTCTAGTTTTTAGAGCGTTGTCAAGCAAATATTGACAGCCGGACTGACGGACAGGGGTGCCGACAATATACGTCCACATAGAGAGATGTGGCCGTATAAAAATATAAATATCTGTACACATTTTTTGGGGTTGAAATTTCTACAAGGGAAATGTGTTTCTTTAAACTTTAAACTTATATATAAGATTATATTTTTATCAGTACAAAGACATTCTAAGACTAACAATATTAGTTAAAGGCTGCTACTATAGTATATATATAATGGATAAAATCAAAATTTTATTTACTTTGCTCAGACAATGACTGGTAAATAATGATAATCTAGGAAAGTATGATGAACCAGAAAATTAAATAGATTCAAGATTAAGTCATAAAATGCATACGGTAGTTAAAATAGGAAATCATTAACATGTAAAAAGAAAAGTTTTTCAAATAACAATCATATTCACAAACATAAATTACAGTTACATATAACATGAAATGCAAATCCTCTTTCATTGAATTGATATTGTGCAGAATAGTAGGATGGAAAACTCCAAGTCCAGATATGGTCATGTTCGTGTAATATTCAACTAAATATTAAAGGAACATGATGGCCATCCATTTGACCAATCTCACCTTAGCCTCAGAAACAAGAATTTCTTTTTAACTTAGTCAATCAGTAATAGTGTTTACAGCTCACAGTCGAAATTTGAGCCATCAAAACCACATGTGTACTGAATTATCCACGGTTTGAAAGTTAGTCTTTTCTTGAGACTTTGCCATAATACATATATAGAAATAGAAAGTAAAATTTCTAGTTTGAGGTATTATTGAAGGAATTATGCAGTTTTCGTGCAGTTCTGGTAGTTTTGAAGACAAATTACTTATGTTCAACACTCAAATCAACACTCAAAGATAGTGGACCACAGCCATATACGCCCACCACGGGATGCGGATGGTAAATATTCAAGATTTTGCAGCAAGGACAATAACTAGCTTCTAACAGTCGAAAATAGATCAAGTTCGAACTTGATCTTTGTTTTATGAATATGTATACACATACCAAATTTCATTTGATTTCATCAAAAAATCTAGATTTTAGAGCGTTTACAAGCAAATGTTGACAGACGGACCGACGGACAATATACACATGGAGAGATGTGGGCGTATAAAAATGCCAACTATGGCCTTTAGTTTACCTCAGTAGTTTTAACAGGTTTACCTAATAAATTTAAAATATCTAACTTGATGCTGTAAAGAGCATTTTCTTCGGAGAGCTTTATCACAATACTGTAAATTACCAGGAATGCAATTATAGCAATGATTCCAATTTCAAAGACGGTGGCAAATGGCATAAACATAAGCCCTAAATATTCATCATGTAAAGATACCATATATAATATCGCAATTAAAATCATAATTAACACTCCAAAATATTTTCTGTCGTATCGAACATCTTCCATGCCTTTTTCTAATTTTTCTAAACTGTCTTGAAGATGTTGATTTCTTCCCACACTGGTTATTGTTTCATCTAAACCTAAACAAAACAAGATGTTAATATGGTCAATCTAGAGAATATATTATAATGGTCATAATTCTTACATGATTTTAATCATACAAGATATTTTTATAAATATGATCGATAAAGGAAATCGCATGTCCAACTGTTTGAATGACTGACACAGAATAAGTGTCCTTGTCCCTCATTGAAAAATGGCATAGTGCAAATTGATATTATCATTGTCCCAGATACACAAAAATTGATACTGTTTTGTGCCACTGAACACCAGTTATACAATGTTCAATTACCTCCGGAATCAGATTTTTGTATTTTAAAAGTTGCTGTAACTGCTTCATGATCTGAGATTCTGTAATGTTTATCTGGTACTTGATGTGACAGAACATCACATTCCTCTACACTCACACTACACCCTATAATAACATAACATAAGTACATTTTAAAGATGGGTTCCCTTATTTATGTAGGTGTTCTAATGACTTGGAAAAATACTACTATGTCTCACATGTTAATAAATACAGAAATAGTATATCCATATATCTCGTGCTTCTTTACCTATGCCTATTTCTATATGTCTAATAAACAGTATATTACTAAAATTATAGACTAACCTTTATTATTGCGGTATAATAGATAATCTATTCTCTGGCCTGCAGGAAAATCTGGAGCATCCAATGCTGTAAATATATTATCTTTTCTATCACATGTATTACCTTCACAAATAGTTTTACTTGCTTTCTACAATAGAAACAACAAAAGTGACATAAATATACCAAATAGAACCTTAGTATTCATAAAGACTCTCCAAAAGTCACAAAATGATATCAGGTGTTTCAAGTGAGAATAACATTTGCAGAAAATATATATGCATGAGATTGTCAATAATGGAAAAATATATAAACAGTCATCACTTACACCATTATAATTTAATTGCAGACAAACAAGATTTTTATTTTTAATAGTGATACTGATACCTGAAAATTTGCTATGTCGAGGAAATACTCTGATTCTTACTTTGTCAATCCAGGAATCAGCCAGTCCAGCAATTGATACAAATACAATTTTATATTTAATTGCAGACAAACCAGATTTTTATTCTTAGGCCTAATTAGTGAGATGGATAGCAAGAGGAAGACTAGTAAAGGGAACACTCTGATTCTTACTTTATCATTCCAAATATCAGCCAGTTCAGCAATAGATATAAATAATTTTATTATTTAATTGCAGACAAACCAGATTTTTATTCTTAGGCCTAATTAGTGAGATGGATAGCAAGAGGAAGACTAGTAAAGGGAATACTCTGATTCTTAATTTATCATTCCAAATATCAGCCAGTTCAGCAATAGATATAAATAATTTTATTATTTAATTGCAGACAAACCAGATTTTTATTTTTAGTAGTAATACAGATAGGAAGAAGAAGGCTATGGTTCTTACTTTGTCAATCCAGCAATAGATATAAATAATTTTATTATTTAATTGCAGACAAACCAGATTTTTATCTTTAATAGTAATACAGATAGGAAGAAGAAGGCTATGGTTCTTACTTTGTCAATCCAGGAATCAGCCAGTCCAGCAATAGATATAAATGATTTTATTATGTAATTGCAGACAAACCAGATTTTTATTTTTAATAGTAATACAGATAGGAAGAAGAAGGCTATGGTTCTTACTTTGTCAATCCAGGAATCAGCCAGTCCAGCAATAGATATAAATAATTTTATTATTTAATTGCAGACAAACCAGATTTTTATTTTTAATAGTAATACAGATAGGAAGAAAAAGGCTATGGTTCTTACTTTGTCAATCCAGGAATCAGCCAGTCCAGCAATAGATATAAATAATTTTATTATTTAATTGCAGACAAACCAGATTTTTATTTTTAATAGTAATACAGATAGGAAGAAAAAGGCTATGGTTCTTACTTTGTCAATCCAGGAATCAGCCAGTCCAGCAATAGATATAAATAATTTTATTATTTAATTGCAGACAAACCAGATTTTTATTTTTAATAGTAATACAGATAGGAAGAAAAAGGCTATGGTTCTTACTTTGTCAATCCAGGAATCAGCCAGTCCAGCAATAGATATAAATAATTTTATTATTTAATTGCAGACAAACCAGATTTTTATTTTTAATAGTAATACAGATAGGAAGAAAAAGGCTATGGTTCTTACTTTGTCAATCCAGGAATCAGCCAGTCCAGCAATAGATATAAATAATTTTATTATTTAATTGCAGACAAACCAGATTTTTATTTTTAATAGTAATACAGATAGGAAGAAAAAGGCTATGGTTCTTACTTTGTCAATCCAGGAATCAGCCAGTCCAGCAATAGATATAAATAATTTGTATCCAATATCTTCTGTACGTATATTCAGATCACCACCAAGTATCATAAAATCACAATTTTGTGACGTGTGTTTAATAAATTGGCTGCCCTCAAATGACTGAGCTATTCTGTGAGCTAAGTAGATATCATGAGTTCTACTGTATTCAGCATGTAACTGAAATGAAACAATATACTTAATATACAGAGTTCGAAGTCCAATTTGCATTTTGAGAAATAATGCTGAAATAAAGCTCTATCAGTTGGCAGTGTCTAATTCTTCTCAGAATACACTTTTTGTTTTGGAGAAGGGAAAATTTGATTGGCTGGTTTTGTCATCAAACAGAGGGCTGTCTTAAGACTCTAACTGAAGTAGCTTTATTTTGATCTCAATGGGGTGTAAATACACTGTCGCTGATCGCGTAATGAAGGTGGTCGCTTCTCAGTCAATTATACTGAAAAGTTGTTTATTGTGGTTGCATATTGAAGGTGGTTGCTTAGTATATAGGTAGTCGCATGAGCAGGGCTTACTTTATGTAGTTAAGGCCTTGTTACCTACGCACTACTAGTAGTAAACCAAAACTACTTACATGTGTAATATAAAGATTAACTTTGAAGCCATCAACTAATATCTGACACATGCCCATACCTTTACCACCAAACCAATCACCATGTTGAAGTTTATGAGGAAAACCATTAATTTGAAAGCGATGAAATAAAGTTTCAATAATTTGAAATTTGGAAAAGATACAAACTCCACTACCAATAAACCCACTGAAATATAAAAACACTAGGCATTAGTAAAATCATCGTGTCCAAACCACACCCCTATTCGTCATACTTCCTCAAGGCCGTGGTATTACAAGTGAGAAAAATTGGCCCTACTGTATCGGTAGCAAATTTCAGCCAATCAAAAAAAAAAAATCATAAAGACACTTTGTTTGTGAACGTAAACAAAACACAAGCAGCGTGACATTACATATTTTGAAGAATATGTACGGTATAGAATTGAGTAGGATTTTTGTTAAAGAATTAAAGCCTAAAGAAACAGGCAGCAATGTTATCTTTTTATTACATGACCTCATTTCTGATATATCGATTGGTCAGATCTTCATCATAAACAGCAACAAAATGAGTTTAATAAACTTTGAAAGATCAGTCCATGCAAAAGCAAAAAACTAGATTAGCAAGCAAGCATCTAAATGACTGGGCCAGGTTTATTCCTTAACTAAGCTTACCTGTGAAAATAATGTGAATATGGTAAAATATGGCCCAATCTATCACAGATTTTCTTAAAATCTGAATTACTCCATACCTGTAAAGATACAATAGTCAAGTTAGAAATTATACAAACTTTAGTTTATTTTTAATATAGCCACTTCAGTTAGGTTCTAACAACAGCCATCTCAATCATTTGTCAAACAAGCCTTTTGATCTAACCTAATAAACACTGTGTCACTAAAAGCCAGTGCTGGAGAGGGTAGAAATTTGATTGGTTAAAGCAGCCATCAACGGTTAAATTGACGAACGTTCAAGAGGGCTGTCTTTAGACCCTAACTGAGTAATAAAGAAACCCTCTATATCCGAAAATTTAATTGGACTGCATTAACACGTAAAGAGTGAAATTTGACAAAATATAAAGTACATATTCACTAAAACTTTTATGTGTTCTATAGCAGAAAGAATTATTTTGCAAACCAAACAGTCACTTATGAAAATTAATCCAGTCAAATTCCTAACATAAAGCATGATTGTTATTCAAAGAGGCTATGTAAGCTTACCTCCTCTAAAAATATTACGTCATAATCACTTTTACTAAATAGATCACAAATTGCTTCCATACGTTCACTACGGAATTTACTAACAAATGGTACTTCTATACCCCTACAATATAAAATGCAAATTTATAGCATTAAAATCAATCACACTGTCCACCCAAGAAACTCAGCACGAAAAAGGTTCTAAAGCTGGCGCATATTTAACAATTTGGATATGTTTTTCTTAAACTATATCACTTCTATTTTGAAGTTGATACTGTTTATTTCAAATGTAAAATTATTAAAACTTGAACTTAAAGACAAAATAAGTAAGCTGAGAGCTTTGTTAGCTTACTCAACAATTTTTCAAGTGATATTTTACTTTACTTGAGACTTTAGATCTATTATGTAGTAGCAATTTTTTGTCGCCAACTAGAGTCTTGTCAAGAGTTTCACCATATGGCTGCAGGCACACAAGGAGACAAAAAAAACTCCATATCGTTGTTTTCACTTTTGTCGATAATCATGCAATTGAAAGGTAAACGAATCTGATTGGAAGATGGTTTTTTGTCGTTCAGACAATGAAATAATTGGCGACAAATACCAAATTTGTTTGATATTATCTTGTCGGTAAAGCAAAAATCTTGTCATGGACGAGCCGGCATACCTGATATTTTACCAAGACTGTTTATGTGCCTGCACTCTTGGTTTATTTATAGATTGATGAAAGCTCCTACTAGTAATTCTACATGAGTTTTCCGTACAAAATCAAAATATGGGTCATTTTCTGACCTCTGCAATTTCTAGGTCATTCATGACAATCAAATAATAAAATGTAAAATCACTGATCTGAACCTTATATTTCTATGAATCTAAGACACCCTGAAGAAGAAAACGAATGGCTGAAAATTTTATTTTAAATAGCTAGCCTGTGGCTGTGATAAACTATAGTTGTAAAACTTGACAAAAAAACTTACCAACAATTCAATGTAACCACTTTCAAAATAACCATTATTTATCAACTGCCGTGTCTACTGTCCAACAGGTATGTCAATAAACAAAATATATCAAGCCGAAATAGACAAAATTATAATTTTTTTTATTTTGTAAACAAATATTTTCAATACTAGTTACTTCCCTTCGATAATGTTCTTGGTTTTCCAGTATTTTACACAACCCACAGGCGTACGAAGTAAAATTAATAGTTATATTGCCCGCTCAATCAATCATCGAAGGGGAAAAGAGGGGGGAGGCCTCCCATGGAGCGTATTAGAGGCGTATTTGCAGCATTTTATACTCCATTATACTTTCGATATCTTGGTACGATGTTTTAATGCAAAAAACGATTTGGGACAGGTTGAAAACCAGCGATGTGTAGGACCTTTCCTATATACAAAACTATATCAACCATTCTGTCTTTAGGCATATGTAATTCACCGGAGTATTCCTCGATTTAAAAAGTATTGTTTCGTATCTAACTTAATATATGTTATTCCTGATTCAGATATCAGATTAAATCTAGTGCGAGGCCTGCACTAACCTACGTGTCTAGTGATGGGAGAAGAATGTAAAAACAAAAGTGTCAGTGGAAATAATATTTTATTTGATAATATCGACAATTCAGAAAATACTGCTGTATCTACATTAGGCCTACTATATACAACATAGTTCGTCGGTGTTTGGCTCACTGGAAAACAAATATGAGAATGTATTATACCAACAATATACTAACAATCAGCAGAAGTCGAAGACTATAAAAGCACCATGCATGAGTTCAACTCAAAGGGTCAAGAGCCGATGGAATGACATGTAGATGTAGGTTTTGAGTTCAGTACTTAAAAAAGAAAATAGCCAAGCATCTGTGTTTGGCAGTTTTTGTTTCTTCTAAAAAAATCAATGGAGGCAAAGAATAAAAAAAAAATTGAAATTAGATAGATAAACCCAGATCCCGCGCACCGTCCTCTGAAACGAACTATTCTTATCAACGACCATGGAGACTCTTCAGGGGTTGAAAATGCAAGAATCTGTCAACAATAGTCTAGATCAGCGCCAGCGAATTTCTAGTTAGCCAACAAAAAATGTCTTATTGAGAAACATGATAATAATTCCAAAATTTTCATAATGTTGTAAAAAGTACAAAAAAAAGAATTTCCGCCTTAGACCTACCTGAAAATATAATATGGTATTAAGATCGACAGCCACTCTTATAGCAAGCTGGTCCTTTCTCTAAACATACACAGGTATCACATTGTTTCTTGAAGAGTTGTCCAATAACGTAAAATTTACCATTATATTTACATCCACCAGCGCTCAGATCTGAAGTGTCAATACAATCAACATCAGATTCTCCCACATAATTTCTACACTCGCTAACAGTCGAAAATTTGTCATTACAGATAAATGCATGATCAGCAATAACCGATTAACGGTTGGACAAATGCTCCATTTTGGGGGTGGGGTGATTTGAGTCTAGAATTAGGTAAATAAAAAGTCTTCAGAACATATAGAAATGTACGAAAATCGCATAATTCCTCCAAGAATATCTCAAACTGGGAATTTCTTTTCCTATTTCTATAGACGGCAGTGTCTTGAGAAAAGACGACTTGTCTTTTTAGCTTTCAAACATGGATAATTCTGGACACACATGGATTTGAAGGCTCGGTTCGACGGCGAGCTGTGAACACTATTATTGATTGGCTTAGCTAAAAAATTGTTTCTAAGTCCAAGGTGTGATTGGTCAAAATGTCGCATCCATTCCTTTACATTGCTGAATTTTACCAAGCCTTTAAGTCTACCATAAAGAAAGATACAAACCTCTAAGACGAGTCAAAAGGATAGGATTATTGCAGCTGATTTTAGTGCAAGCTATTGCACCCGCTTTACCACAGATACAGTTATTACAGTCAATATCAAACCTGGTTCCTTCTTCGATAGTTTCCCCGTCGTGTTTACACCCTGCCTCTGTAACTGAAATACAAGTCATGAATTAATCAAGTCAGTCTCAATTTTCAGGACGAGAAAATTCTTTGAAATCCCTTTAATCACTTAATAATTGTACGCTACTGATGCACATGGGAGAAACTGGATTTTCAACTTCATGCAAATCAGACAGTCAGATTGATCGTTGGATTCAGTCCATAAATTCGCAGTTGCCACCATAGTTTTTGATGTTTCTACTTTTCTAGCAAAAATTATGATCACATATCTATCTGAATGGTTTGAATCCGAAATTTCCCCAAGATGTTGTCTGATAATCGTATCGCTTTGAATCGCGAGTTTACCAACTAGTACCCACCTAAACATCAGTAAAGAAGTTACTTACACCCAAAGCAGAGTCCTATCAGCAACAATACTACTACACAGTTGGTCATCTTGGATGATACTTACCAGATTGGTTGATGACATTTATTTTTATATCATGACGCATAAAATATAATTAATAATTGGTATATTAAATTGTCATGAACCCAAAGATTGATACAAATTGATATATGTTTCATTGGCCAATTTGCTGCGTGTGGGCATACACTTTGCTCTTGGATATCTGTACATGTATTTCTATTTTAATCTAGAATATGGAGGCAGGAACTCGTAAACAGTCGCTTTGGCAAATGTGTCAATACGTTTAATAAGCTGTCTCAGTGAAATTTACGCCAAAAATGATGTATTTCAGGGCTGAGAAAAATCTTATTTTGAGGTGAACTAAAGTCCTCAAAATTCATCTCAAGCCATCTGAAATACGTTGTCTTCTGGCAGCATCAAGACCCGGAGAGACACCTATCATTATTGCAACCCCTCCCTCCTTACAGACATAATTTTTCTCGATACACACCTTCGTCCATATTGCAGTTTTTCATCTGGACGAAAGCCATGAAAATTTATATGCCGATTTAACCTATAATAAATCTTTGCAAATAAGGTTGCTTCTGGAAATATTTAGATACTGAGCTTAAATTTCTTAAAGAGTTCCTGAACGAAAAAAGCTATCTTATGTATTCCTTTTTTGACGACTGTATACCTTGAACTATCCTGCCATTTGAAACACCTCAGAATTAATTATGTTTCCTGTTTAAAGTTCATTTGAATACACATAAGTTAAATACACCAATTTAACCTATATTAAACACTATTATGAAGTGCTCAAAGGGAACTGTCCTAACATCTAAAGTAATAACCATTTCATAAAGTATACACTAATCATCGAGGGTAAACGGTTGGTGATTCACAGCTCACCGTCGAAATTTAAGCTTTCAAATTCCATGAGTGTCCAGAATTATCTGCAACATGCTCTGTATTGCAGTATACTGGCTTCTTTTGAAAATGTATGTCATCTTATAAGACAAAAACTTCAAGCTCCTAAAGTCAACAAGTAGCTTTTAACAAAGCTGTTCATGAGATCACCATAAAAGGAATACTGGTACTGATGCGAGAATAACTGTTAAAGGGAATGAAATACTAATTTCATGTGTATCGGGGACACAATTTGCACCATTCTAATTTTCAATCAGACATCTGTGGGTCCATACAATTCCACTTCAAACTAAGTGAAACTTATTTTTTGTAGAATGGTGCAAATAGATACTATCAGTGTCCGCGAAACGAAACGCAAAGATAATTTTGAAAATAAACCTCTTTTAAATCCCTTTCAGGACACCAATGAAACAAACCAATTATAATCTTATTTACTGTATTATAACAGAAATAATCCATAAAATATTTAACAGAAATAATCTATAAAATAATTAACATAAAAACAAGTGACATAGTACATAATATACAGGTCATGAAGGTTGGGGATGAATTGGCATATGTACAGTTTATAAAATAGAATATTTTAAGAATCACATCACTCACAGAGTACAACTCAGTTTTGATAACTTTGAGACAGTGAAACAAAATTCCTATTACTAAATAATGAAGAAATATTCCGATTACTAAATAGTGAAACAGTAATAGTGAAACAATATTCTTATTACTAAATAGTGAAACAATATTCCTATTACTAAATAGTGAAGAAATATTCTGATTACTAAATAGTGAAACAGTAATAGTGAAACAATATTCCTATTACTAAATAGTGAAGAAATATTCTGATTACTAAACAGCAAAACAATAAGAGTGAAACAATATTTCTATTACTAAATAGTGAAACAATATTCCTATTACTAAATAGTGAAGAAATATTCTGATTACTAAACAGCAAAACAATAAGAGTGAAACAATATTCCTATTACTAAATAGTGAAACAATATTCCTTTTACTAAATAGTGAAACAATAATTCTCTTACTAAATAATAAATAAACATCTAACAACAGATGATCAATAAATTTTATCAAAACAATTTACTGCAAGAGTTGATTTTAATGACTATTGATGAAATTGAATATTATACACAATGTAGATGTTATTGAAAATATTCTACTGCTGGGTCAAAGGTTACATATCAAAACTGACTCAACACCCTTGAATAATTAAGATAGTTTAAATGTTACTTTTCATTGATTTCTACAATTTGTACAACTAGTAAAACAAAAAAATGAGCACTAATAATGATATTACTATATAGATAAAAACTTTCATAAATTCTATATTACATAGTATTAAAGGATAGAGCCTTCTTCTCATAAACTGCCATGACTAAGGTGGACCTGAAATTTTAAGACTAATTTCCAAAATTGGGATCTAAAAATAGTTTAGAGAATGAAGATACAAGCTAATTTCTCAAAACTTTACCACCTTATTAATTTTTGATCCCCTTCAGTAAGATCATAATTTTTGCAAGTTCCAAAACTAGCTCTCCTAATACAGATTATGAATCTTTATCACATTCCATAAAATGTGATGAGCTCTTATCAATTTCAAAAATAAAATCAAGTCATACAAGCAATTCAATTCAAGGATATGGCTATACCCACTTATGGCAAAAAACAGATAATATACATTATGAATTTTAATTCACAAAACTCTATGTGTGTATCAAGGTGTCATATGTAAAGTAAAATAAAACAGAAAATTTTTAACAAGGAACTTTATTTGAAATAAATGTTTGAGTTCTTTTGATAGAAATCTTATCTTACATTAAAAATTTTTAATTCAAAAAATGAGTAGAAGGAATTATTGTGACATATTCTATTCCCATATCATGCTATATTAATGATAAATATTGTGATATCCACTTGAACCAATATCAGCCAGCGCTATCAAAAGGTAACATAAGAAAAAATATTTATAGACCTTTTCTTTGAAAAAATTCTGAAACTTTTTAAACAAGTGGTAAGCAAGATACGCCTGCTATCTTGATAAATTTTCAGTATAGCAACTGAAGTCTCTGTATTTCCTAAGTCAAAGGCAATAACCCAAAAATCATTTTTCGAAAAATCATAAAATTTAAACTTTTGAGACGAAGAACTCATCAATATAAATATTTGGCAACTCCAAATTTCATCAAAATCAGATAAAAACTGTAGTCTCTTTTGGCTTGTGGACAGACAGCCAGACTGCCAGACAGAGGTGACAACAATATACGACCACATCATAATGTGGTGGGTGTCTAAAGAGCACTTAATTTATCTCTTATTTTTATATTTATAATTCATATTATAAATTTCCTCTTCCCTTATCATATAAGAGGCTATATCAGCTGGTAGACAAACTTGAACTAAACTTTGCTTTTGGTCATTAGATTTACAAGGACCTTTGTATAAGTCTACAGTAGTATGAACCATATCGGGGTCAACAGAATTTTGATTTTTAGCTGCTTCAAGTTTTTCCTTTATTTGTGTTAAATTATTTTTACTTTTCATTGCCTGTTCATATACAATGCATTTTTCCTCTTCAATTTCATCTAAAAGCCCTCTCATTTGTACATTATGATTATACTGAAGGTTAACTTTTTGTTCTTCATGATCTGTATACAATTGTAGTTTATTACATTGATGCCAGTAATTCATCGGGTCCATTTGTAATTGTATGGTAACACTTCGCATTTCATGTATTTGTCTTTGACGCAACACTTGAATTTGCCCTTTATGAATATGTTTTAGTTCGTTTACCTGAATTTCTTTATTAGCCTCAATACTTAGCATTTTTGTATTATAATCTTTATCTATATTTGTCAACTGTTTTGATATACTGTTAGCAATTTCCGCTGGGGTCTTTCCCTGTCCTTTTATCTGCAAATCATTTTTGTTAATATTAGAACGTAATAGAGGGGGAATTCTGAAATTACCTTCTAGTATGGAACACCGCACGTTGGGTGTTTGTTTGTTTCTGTAGGAACATACAGTAAGATTATTATTAACATCATGTACAGGGTCAGTTCCCCAGTTACACTTGACTAATTTCATCAGTTCCTCTTCATTTAATGTATAGGGAGGCTCATTAGGACTGACAGACGGTTGTGGACGACTAAGAGATGGCAGAGTTGTTGTTTTTGGTGTTGTTACTATTGAAGTATGCATAGCTGATGTTGATACAGCAGTTGAACATGTGCTTGAACTTGGTCCAGTAGTAACAAATGCAGATGCTTGATTAGCCTTTGAAGTAGCAACAGAAGTCTGCTTCACATCTTGGTAACTTTTTGTGACAGAATCTGTAGTCTTAGCAGAAGCAGCTTCCATTACAGTTACATCAGCTACAACAGAATCATCTGAAATATCAATGACTTCCACACTTTCATCCACCATAATAACTTCAACAACACTATCATCTTCGCTTAAAATTGGCTCTTTTTGTTTTTCCAATGTTGGTGATGGAATTCTTACATCATGTACCATTGGAGTTACTGTTGCAATATTCTTCCCCTTACCAGGACTTGAGGCTCTTTCTTTTTTGACTGAACAGGAATCTTTCAAATTTTCTTCTGGTGTGTAATTAACTGCAACTGTTTCTTCACCTAAAAGAACGCTACTTTTAACTGGTATAGTCTCAGCACCAAAAATACTTGTATTACCAAGTTCATAAGGTTCCTCCATTATAGTGTCCTCATCGTCCTGTGAAGCAGTGTCCAAAACTATGTAGTTCTCTAAGCCAAGGATGTCAGCAGTTAGTTCAGCAACGTCATCTTCAGCTTCAGCCACAATTGTTTCATCAATTTTAGAGTAGTTCAATTGAGAAAATCTGGCTTTTTCCATGGTTGTGTTTGAAGCATCTTTAAAATACTTGTTATCAGCTTCTGTCAATAATGGTGTTTCCTTTCTGCCTATACATACGCTATCCATTTTGATCTTACTCACTTGGTTAATTGAAACTTTGGATTTGTTGGCTAAGCTGAGATTTTCAACAGTCTTTGCTTGTTCCATAAAACTTCCATCAATTTCACTGATTGTCATCATGGTTTGCTGATAAGTTTCATTTAATGAGAGTCTTTTAGGTTGATAAGGTCCAACACAGGGAGTGCTGCTGAAATGCCTTACTCTGCGTTTCAAATTGGGAGTATTTGACTTAATACGTTGTCTTGGTGTAGCACTTATGGAAACTATGGGAGACAATCCAGCCAGGGCTAAAGGTGTTTGCAAGCAACTCAATCGTTTGTTTTCAAGAACAGGTAACTGGATACCAGACATTTTAGATGGTGACAGGTGGAATGAAGAACTATCTTCTTTTTCTTTTGGATCTTTAATTTCACGACATGGTCCTGGAGTGCTGCACACTTTTTGAGGAGTTTCTGCCAGATTATCAGATGCTATATCCTTTTCATTTTTTGTTTGTGGTATCTCTTCACCATTAAGGGCTTCATCATCATCCTGGCATAAAGACAGAATGGACTCATGTAGCTCATCTAAAGTTTCAAATGAATCTTCTTCCATATTGGGCAACTGGAGAAAAAAAAATAGAAAAAGGTAAAATATGGATATCTTTTAGACACAAATTACTTTCATACTTTTTCTTTGACAAGTTTGAGACTCCCTCATATCATAGCTATAACCAGTTTCAAATGATTGTGAAAAAATCAAAGTGAACCCGATTCACAGAGTTGCATTTGAAACTAGTGATCAGTATGGTGTGGGAAACTGACCATAAAATATAGTGAACGCAACTTATAACAACAATCACCAACTGGTATGAATTATCCTACCATTAGTCATACACTTTTTAAAACTTTTTATAACACTGATAGCATCAATTTGCACCATTTCAATTTTCAATAAGATGTCTGTGGTTACTGCAATTCAACTAAAACTAAAATACAAAAATATTTTCTAGCCTATGAAACGATAAATTTTAAATGTATTAAATATTGCAAAGTTCTGATACATTTAGCTCATGTTTTTTTTTTTTAATTTTGAAAAATTGACTGACCTTTTATTTAATCTTGAAAATTCCGATGACGATTTCTTGAGCACAATAAGTCTTGAAAACTAAAATAAATTTTCAATTTATATGTGAATTTTTAGTAATGATCTGATGATCATTCATTTCTTATGTATCTAAACCTAATGTGACCACCAATCACTTTAATTTTTTGAACTGAAAATTAACCTACCAGCTGTCAAATCAGAACTTTCAATTGCCACTATATTTTAAGAGGGCCAACATTGGTGACCTCTTGACCCCACACATATATATCCGAATTGTAACACAAACAATAGATTGTTGATACAATAAACTTTATTTAAAATGAGATCACATTGACACAGAAAGATTTCAACTCAGCATAGGCACTGTCACATTCCTGTCCTGTCCTGTCCTGTCCTGTCCTGTCCATCTCAGGTTTTGAGGGTCCTATTTAAATAAATATGTTTATAACACCCACACCTCAGAATAGTCTGAGAGTGAATGCAGAAAATGACCAAAAAACAGGACTTGGGTTTTCTGTCTCAAATAACAATCAGTGTGGTCGTATTGCTACTCATTCATTCTGCCAATTAACACATTGCCACTTCCCCAGCACTGCATTGCAGCACTCTTCTGACAGTGGCAGTAGTCGAAAAATATGTCATGTCCTGGTACGAGTTGTCATGATTCTACGGTCTAAGGTAAACATATCTGCAAAATGAAATGCATATCATTACCTCTATTCTTTCCTTACTAGCGTTCTTCTTGACATCTAATGAATTTGAGGCGTACGTAATTAATTCAGAACATCAAAATCAAAAAGTTTTCAAAATTTCAAATGGAAATTCCCGGTCAATTGACGAGAACATCCAGCCTCGAAAATTACTTCGGACGATAGGCAACGACGTTAAATTTTTCTAAAAATTCAGAAATAGAACCTAGCAATATTTGAAAATATCATTATTCATAATCATTTAGTCATCAGTATTAAGCGATTAACAAAAAATATCCCTCATTTCAGATTTTGACTTAAAAAAGTATTGATTGAAACGCCTGGATAATATAAATCAGGGTACGCCACCCTACTTTTTAATTGACTTTGAATAGAGTTCCCTCCCTTAGAACAAAAAAACGTAAAACTGGTCAAATGTGATGTTTGTTGAAAGTCGTTTATTTCTAAATTTAAAAAAAAAACCAACCATTGATACAACTCGAATCGATAATTCCGAAAACTTCTCGTCAAAAAGCAGTATAGAAATTGAAGATTGTGAATTGTAAGATTGTACGAGATATTATAAACTTAACCTTAGCTGTTGCTGTAGAAAAATGCTTGACATTAAATGAACAGTTCCAGGCCCTATAACTAAGGATATCTTCCGATAAGAAACCTTATCGTTTTTTGTCGATGGACTCGAAGAAAGGTATGTTTTTAAATCTGCCGCATTTTGAAACTCAAACTTGACAGTGTTCCATATTTAGCTCCAGTTCTGTACAGGAGCGTCCGCAGAACTTGTATTTGAATTCGGAGGATTTGACATTTATCCGAATAAATATATAGGCCTAACGATTGAACGGTTATATCTGAAATAAACCCCATTTGTACCAGTGGCCGGACGCCCATGGTTTGACATATTGGTAGCATGCTGGAATATTTGTTCCGACTTTTAAAGATTGGTGACACTTAGAATCCAATATCCTGGTTATTGCATGGAAAAATACTGATCGCGGTTTATAAATCAGGTTGTTTTTCTCTTTATTTCAGTTCACCAAGCTGTAAATGGTTGGGTCCTACAGATAATCAAAGAAAGACAATAACGATGAATTTAGAGGATCATGACCAGTCTATAGAAAAGGGATATCATACACAACCTGTAGATACGGATTTGTCGAGGAATTCGCATTCAAGAATATTCTTATTATTGATTTCATGCTTATGTTCAGTGTATTTGCCAAAAGTCAAGATATAAGAAAGGTAATTATACATAAAACCAGCCCCCCACCCCCGAAAAAAGGAATTGAGCCGCCCCTCCCCCTTGACAAATTTGGACAACCGACCAAAACCACTAATGCATCTAAACACCATCCGTCATTGCCCCTCTGGATTTATTACTAGCCCCTCAGACCGAACCAGCTGTCCTCTGGTTTTATATCCGAAACACGTATTGGCATAATAAGGAGATTGGTAGCAATTTGACAATCAAAAAATTGTTTTTAAACTAAATCATTTGTTACATTTTGTTCTTATTAATCTTTCTCTATCTGTGACATCACCGACTTCTCGACATCTCCAACAAGAAACATCATCCAGGTGTTAAGAGTTAAAGACACGAACATTGAACGGACAAGTACTTTCAACTCTATTATATCTTATAAAATGTCGACGCCACATAGCTAATGTAGGACTCAGTCGCACTCAAGTTTTAGATATTTGGCTACGAAAAGGCCTACAGACGTTACTACATCTACGAAAAGGGAAACGGGCAACTCTAATAAAGACAGATTCGCCACCCGTTTGACCAATCGTACTTTAGTCTGAGAAAAGGGACTTTTTTTTTAGCTAAGATAATATCAGTAACAATGTGTGTTTCGAATTATCCGCGTTTGAAAGTTAAAATGACGACTTGCCTATTCTTCAGATTGCGCCTAATCATCAGCAGTTGTTGCCCAACCCTTAGGAGAAATGCCGAAATCCCAGAGACGTCTAATTGAAAAGTGGAATGGTGAAAATCGATGTGAACAGTGTCCCCGATACACATAAAAAGTTTAGGAAACCCCTTTACAAACCCTTTAATTTATTCTTCTAGACATGCATTTTGACACAATATTTCAAATGGTTCCCCTGGCAAAAAAAAAATTCAATCAATTGCATTAACCGACCTGTTCGGACTTGAAAAATTGGAGGTAATAAGTAAGCTTATTAGGTGGTTGTATTCGATACAAAATCACGTTGTGCACGAATGAGACCTTTTTCCTTCATTTCAAATTAGCCAGAACACACTTTTTGTCTTACTACCTATATTTACTATATAGGCCGATAGAATTTAGTTCATTTGCCTCGTCATTGTAAAAAATGTTGAAAGAACGTAGTAAATGGGTTGCGTACTCTCCACACTCGTGTTCTTCACTTAGTTGTGACAAGAAAAAGATAAGTTTCTTGCAATTCCACCAACTTTCCTTTTCTCAGAGTGTTTGTAGTCATTAGTGTAACAGTCGGTTTAAACTTAGTGAATCATTGGGGCGGGAATGTGGTATACATTTTGACCATTAAAAATAATTAGTGGTGTACTGGTTTTTGGTGCAACAGGATTTGATAAGGACAACTGTACTGAAACATACGAAATTTTCATCTCGCTGAACTAGTCTTTGAGCATCTTCACAATGTAAAGTTATAGCCAACTGCATCTAATGCCTTGACTGCAATAGTCAGCTTTATTGTACCACTGAAGTTTGTACATGCAGCGATTTGATTGGATTGTACACAAACAGACAACCAGAGGCCTTAAAAAGTCTGTCAACACCAAGCCATAATGTTTAAAATGTTTCTGTCGAGAGCTCTGTTTTGCTGTATTTACATTATACAAGAAATGCGGCTATTTCCGCCAAGCAAGGTATTAGACCAGAATTCGTAATATCTTAACATTGTGAAGATGGACATTGAGAGAGGTAGTCTTGCCATCCAGACGATACAACAAGTAAAGCTTCACAGAAGGACAACACAGCGATATGTGCTCCAAATTTACTTGCGTACTCTTAATAAAGTGATAACTCTCTTCATTACCGTGATAATAAAGCTTTCATCGTTGCATTGATTTGATTTCGATTTAGAATGATTTGTCTCGGAATCGGAACAATTCATACCTGCCATACGCACGAATTATGGGTACAAGACTGTTGAGCTAGTGTGATTTCCCATTCAGGAGCACCAATTCCTTAGGCTCACTCGATTTTAAAAATAGAGTTCGCATTATTTTGTTGTATTAAGTGTATTTCTTTGTGCAGAAAATTAATTCCTATTTCCTTTTTATACGTCCACATGAAATGGGAGCGTATATTGCCGTCACCCATGTCCGTGGTCCGCCCACAATTGCTCGTAAACACTCTACAAGACAAAATTTTTGACGGATTTTGACAAAACTTGGTATGAATGTTTGTAATCACCCAAGGATGAACCCTATTGAAAATCAGAAGAATCGAAAAATATTTAGTATGAGTTATTGCCCTTGTTCTTGAAAACGCCTTCAAATTTAGCTCTAAAACACTAAAAGGCATGATTGTTGGTGGATTTGACAATATTTCGTTTTATTATTCAGTCTCGCGCTGAAGATTGAATATTTGCCTTCTACAGTGTTCACGAGCTAAAAATTGAACACGTTTTCAAGAACAAGGGCAATAACGTACACTTGATATTATTCAGTATTGCCCCAAAGAGTTCAAAAGAAATGTATGACTGAAGGTGGAATATTTCATACTGGTGATTGGTACTGTACTGCTAAATATTTTTATTCAAAATCAAAGCTGCCAGTGTGCGTAT